TCTGTTAGACTTGGAGAGGAGGGCTCTTCCAGATGTTGCTGCAGGACAGTCAAATATGAGGATCACAAATAAAAATATTAGAATATAAGGCATATACAATCAAAAATCAACCAAAACAAAACTACCATTTATGAAACTTTTTGTCTAAAAAGTTTACTTTTTGGACTACACCATTATGAATGATCCCATAGTTCATTTCTATCTCAAAAATCCTATTCATCATCCTAGTCCATATTTTTTTGTGCATGTCATTATTGATCACTAAAGAGTTATGACGTATCATAATTTTATGATATTCATAAAAATTATAACTGTCATAGACACATATTGCTTCCCAAGTCCTTTGACAGGGGTCCATAAATCACTGGTTTGACATAGTGGTCTTTGTGTGTATAGGATCACAAGTCAAAGCTGTCAAAATTCTTCCATAGATTTCAATTCAAGATTCAACTACCAGCTCGCTTTAGTCTAGACTTGCAAAAGAAGTGTATAACCTTTCAGATCACCTTCTCACCTTGAGCTTATTCTATGGCTGTGAGCACTTGAAATCATTCACCTGCAAACCACTAAATTATGATAATAATAGATTATCTGTCAGAAACCTAAAAAAAAAAAATGCTGCCACAAGAAATACTGAAATATTACGTTATTTTACAAAGGTTACTCTTGGGACCTTCAGCAGAGACTGAACCTGATGACAGATCTGATGGAGCCTGGAAGCTAAAAAAAATCTGTCCACACCAATTATATGATCTCGAAAGGAGAAAAAGATGGCGTATTAACGATGGGGCTGGAATACTACCACTAAACAGTATAATGGGGCATATTTGAATGTGGAACGCGTTTCCAGAGACAAGCCGAGAGATGTGTGTACTGGGCCTTTAAAGGTGTTTTGCATCCGGAGCAGCTCCCTCATATCCCCCAGACAGGCCAACGTCTCACCTACAGCATCACAAACCAGTTTGTTTACAAGGGCTTAAGCAGGTACGCAACACTCAGTACTGCGAGGAAAAAGTGAAAGTGCCGTTTTAGAGCTCGTTATAAAGCAACAGTGAAGCATGTTATAGGACAGCCTGGGCGGCTGGCTGAACAGTGAGGAGTAGGCCGAGGGGACACATAGAGCTGTGTGATTGATGCCATTTAGCAACAGTACAGCTAACGTTAGCCATGGACGTGTTATACCAGATTAATGTATTTTTTTAGGGGGGGGGGGGGTGTTTACTCAGGTTTACTCTAAATAAAGGCCAGTCTTTAACCTTGCGTTAGCTGGGCGCTACGCTAATATACTCAGACAACAATAGTCAAGTTGCAGTGTTCGCTTAAAACAGACCGATAATTTCATATTGTCTTGTTTATCGGTACATTCTGGCAATATTGTATCATTAATACACCCACATTTCCTTTTAATGCGTTTCTGAGTAAGGCTGTAATGGCTATTCAACACTTTCATATTTAATTTAAATATTGCTCGTCAATGATGTTACCGCTGTGAAAAGCAGTTATAGTAGCAGCCGATTTAAATTAGCATTTTTTTGTTGTCTTATGTCACACTGGTCAACGCCGAATTAAAGCGTGGACAGTCATTTTCAATAGGACATTGAAAGATAACCGCTAACTAAGAAACTTTTGAAAGCGATAGCCTTGTAATTATTAAATTGACCGGTTTGTGAATCGAGTCTGGCCTCGCGCTCTCCAGGCAGCACACGCAAGGTTGATTGTTGTGGTTATAATTGGTATGGCTGTAATTGACACAGGTGACGTTAACTATATAAACTATATAGTGGGCGGGTACATACACACACACATATATATGCATGTGTCTGTGTATTTATTTTATTTTTTAATTTTTTTTAAACAAAATCTTTAAAATGTTTACATCCAGGTAAAACCGCCTGCCACCTAAAGTTAAAAATTTTAATCGGTGTCCAGATAGTGCGTGACCTTAGAACAAGGGTGGGGGAACTCCAGGCCTCAAGGGCCAGCGTCCTGAAGGATTTAGATGTTTCCTTCATCCAACACAGCTGATTTAAATGGCTGAATTACCTCCTCAACATGTCTTGAAGTTCTCCAGAGGCCTGGAAATGAACTAATCATTTTATTCAGGTGTGTTGACCCAGGGTGATATCTAAAACCTGCAGGACACTGGCCCTTGAGGCTTGGAGTCCCCCACCCCTGCCTTAGAACTAGACTTGATTCGCAAAATTTATAGTAGCCTATTCCTAGGAGAGATATTCAGTCTTTGTATTTTCATGTTGGTCTACTACAGCTGCTGTGGTCCCCTGGTTCACTATGGCCCAGAATCAAGTGATTCTGCAGTTCCGCTTCGCCACATTTGGAGACTCCATGCTACAGAAGATGAACCTTCTGAGACACCAGAGGCGCTTCTGCGATGTTACTGTTCGCATCAACCAGCTGGAGGTCCCTGGTCACAAAGTGGTGTTTGCTGCTGGCTCCTCTTTCTTAAGGGACCAGTTCATCCTTCAGCAGGACTCCAGGGAGGTCCAGATCTCTATGATCCAGGAGGCAGAAGTTGGCCGACAGCTGCTGCTGTCCTGCTACACTGGCCAGCTGGAGTTTCCTGAGCTGGAGCTGGTGCATTACCTGACAGTGGCCAGCTTCCTCCAGATGGGCCACATTGTAGAGCAGTGCACTCAGGCCCTCAGCAAGTTCATCAAACCACAGGCTTCACGCCAGCTGGAAGTGGATGTAAAAATGCGGAGGGAGAAGAGGGAGGAGAGTTTATCCTCCCAGGCAAAGATAGAACAAGAGCGCTCTCAGGTGCAGACTGTCCATCAGGAGGAGGAGGAAGAGGAGGAGGAGGAGGAAGAGGAAGAGGTAGTGGAGCAGGTGGAGCAGGATAATAACGATGATGAAAGCGAAGATGATGATGTGATTATACAGCCCAAAAGCCCTGTCCAGATCTTGACCAGGCGTCCAAGGCAAGGCATAGTGGAGAGTGACATCACTATAGTAAAGGTGGAGTCTGTGTCTGATGTTGCAGAGAACTCCATCACCGGTCACTTCTCCACCAACCCTCCTGCAGAGCTCCACTCCCCTGAGCCCCAGCACTCGCTCATTAATTCCACCGTTGACAGCCGCAGCAGTGAGATGGCGGTTCCGCCTGGCGTGACGGGATACCCACTTAGCCCTCCTCCTTCATCTCCACCTGCAGAGAAACACATCGGACACCAGAGGAACTACGACAAGCCTCTCCAGTGGTACCACCAGTGCCCCAAGTGCGCCCGAGTCTTCCGCCAACTCGAGAACTACGCCAACCACCTCAAGATGCACAAGCTCTTCATGTGCCTGCTGTGCGGCAAGACCTTCACGCAAAAGGGCAACCTGCACCGGCACATGCGCGTTCACGCCGGCATCAAACCCTTCCAGTGTAAGATCTGCGGTAAGACTTTCACCCAGAAGTGCTCGTTGTTGGATCATCTAAATCTGCACAGCGGAGATAAGCCGCATCGCTGTAACTACTGTGACATGGTGTTTGCTCACAAGCCAGTTCTCCGCAAGCACCTCAAACAAATCCACGGGAAGAACAGCTTCGATAATGCAAATGAAGGCAGCCTGCACGACGGCGGGGTGGACTTTGAATTCGGACGAATATGAGATCACTTTGGACTTACTGGCTGTGCTGTTTGAGAACACAGTAACAAAGGCGGCCACGTGAGTGAGACGTTCACTGACATGGATGATGGGTTACCTAAAGGATACAAACATGAACAAAGTTTTTCTGATCGGCACATCACTGTAGCTTCATTACTGTGGACTATTTGTCTTTCTTTTGTACAATACAGTGTAGATGCCTTCATCTCATACTTGAAAATTGAAAAACACTGAAACGCATCATAATGTTTGAACATCATTAGTTTTATTAATGCATTGCCATGTCTTTGTGTCTACCCTGTCCTTTAAAGAACTGCACAATGAACAGTATCCATTTTTATGTTGTTTATGTACACAATCTGCTGTATGATTACTTTTTAAACTGTATGACTATGGCAACGTGGACTTAGGAGAAACTTGAAAGAGTGGAGATGCAACATTATTTTACATAAGGCAAGCTATGTCATTTTGTCTTGGTGGCCAAAGTGTCTGTTAGCCTAAGGGGTCTTCTTTTTTTAATAGAATTTATATCTGAGGTACTATTGGACCAAAGTGACATTGTATCTGTCCTGTGTTCATGGAAGTCAATGTGAGTTACGAATAAAGAAATATTCTTAACTGTTGCTTTTGTTTTCTTACCGTTACTCATTGCTTCATCGTTCACGCACAACAGAAAATTCCCATGTTAGTGTCCAGTCTGTAGTAATGGCCAATGCCGTTCTCAGTGTGTGCTTGTTTTTACAATTTTTAGTCAGATCGAGTTGGCAGTATCTGAAAGTGGCATGGAAATTTCTGGTGAGTTGTTTCAACAAAGGGTTCTGTGTTTCCTGCACTTTCAGTATTTCCACATTTTGAAAGAAGATGCTGTACTCTTTTTAAAGAGAGGTTTCGCACCGCTTCACAAAATGGAATCAAATATTATGTCTAATTCTATGCTTTCAGTGTGTATCCGATGTTGAACAGCAGAGATGACAGTAAGAACCTGTTAGACCTCGTTTGCAGCCACGTCTTGCTCACTTTGGAATTGGTTTATTTAACAGATGGGTCCACATGATTCGTCATAAAGGTGAAGGTGCACGGTAAGGTGAAAGACCCCACAACATCTGAGAGAAGTCCCCAATCATAAGCTGACCCTTTATAAGCAAGCAATTGGCAACAGTGGGAAGGAAAACTTCTTCTCCTGACAGAACCAGGCTCGTGGATGGGCAGCCATTCTCCACAACCTGTTGAGGGTGAGAAAAGGGAGATGTGTTTATACAGTTACGAGTGACATTTATGAAAATGTGTTAAATTAACCACTGGCGACCTGTCAAGGGTGCACCCTGGTTCTCTCATTAAGACAGCTGGGATAGGCTCCACCCACCCCCCCAAACCCCATCCCCACCCACCGTGACCCTGACAAGGATAAGTGGAAGAGAATGGATGGGTGGATAGCATTACCTTTGAAAGAATAAAATAATATACAGTTAAAATGAATAGGCCTACTGTACCCAAGACTAGGTAGGCTTGCAAACCTTTAGCAGGACTGATATTTTCTCCAGTGTAGTTACTTATAGTTACTGCCTTTGTATATGTGTATTTATATTACTTAGATGTTGGCCCAACATTTATTCTTCAGAAGTAGAAAGGTGGCAGGAATAAATCCTTCTGTTTTCTTGAGCCAAGGCTGGCTGTTATTGCACTCGAGGCAGCCCTATGCTGGAGCGTTGTGTTTTTACCCAATATTTGTTTTGGCTTTCTACATCAAATAACCCAGTACAAGTAGTTAAATAATCGTATTTACAGCAATGTACTTAAACATGTCCAACAGTCTAATGTCAGCATAAAATAAGTTTACCATGACAGTATGTAAGTTGTCTAAACTGGAATTAGTGTAAAAACACTATGCTTAAAATTGTATTTGCCAAGCAGTAAATGTGATTTGAATATAATGAATTTGAATAAGGACGGCTTTGTCAAGTCGTCATTGTTTCACATATCTTCATTGGTTCGTGGTGTAGCCATGAGCAAGTCAGCAGGCTGCTGCAAGAGATTCCTGCACTATGCTTTTGACTACGAAACACCAAAAACGCTGGTTATTCCCAGCTTAGGTGTAGGATTTGTGTTCAGGTTCACCCAATTCTTGGTGGTGATGTATGTGGTTGGGTAAGTACCCAATAAAATCAGAGGAGGGGATTGATTGGTTGGGGATGTGGTAATATGTGGATTATGAAATGATGTTTTTGCTTGCACAGTTAAACTCAGACATTTCTGCAAACCTGCTGTAGGTATGTGTGTGTGGTGCAGAAGGCCTACCAGGATACAGATACTGTCATCAGCACCGTCACCACGAAAGTGAAAGGTTTCGCTTTCACCAACACATCTGACACGGAGCCTCGTTTTTGGGATGTGGCTGATTACATTATCCCTCCTCAGGTACTCAAACGTGCATTTTAGGATTTCTGTCATTTTATATGTGAGGGGGGAGAACAGCATAACAGGTTTTGGCTTTTTTCATTCCCTGGAAACTTTTTCCCTGCTCTACTTTCTGACAGAGTGATCATTCATTCTTTGTGCTGACGAATATGGTTGTGACCCCAAAACAAGTGCAGTCACATTGTCCCGAGGTGAGTCACTGCTGTTACAAAACAGATAACCAGAGCCAAGGGTCGGCCATGTCTTGCCAAACTCGCACAACCATTGATGAAGACCATTAGAGTGCCAAGTACATGGTGATTGTCCTGTATTAACAGCTTATTTTTTTCTATTACTACATTTCTCTGTGGCTATTGTTTTTCAGTTGAGGGAAATCATAAATATGATTATAAACCCTTTTAAAGTCAAGTGTATCATATTTCCTGTGAGTTTTTGAGACTTCTACACATCAGTGTCATTTTTTTTCCCCCCACGGCAAGTAAATTGCACAAAAATACCTGATGCAGCTAATATGGCACAAATTACAACTCATATAGCCAAATGGATACTTATCTAATTAAAAATTGTTTGAAGACTCAAGAAACTTCAGGCTTTAAAGAGTCCTAAATTTCGCCTTCAAATATAAACATTAACACTGGAGATTTTTCCTGCAGCTTCCAAGCCCATCAACTACTTGTGTGGATGACTGCAACTGTGTCGAGGGACGCAGTGATCCCCGGGGCAACGGTAGGCCTTCCTCCCTGATGATACAGCCCCTTTAATATTTGTGGCCTCACGCAGCAAAAACTCAGCGTGAAATTTATTTTCCACCCAGGTATACAGACGGGACTGTGTGAGAACTACTCCACCACTGCACGGACCTGTGAAGTGCTCTCATGGTGCCCACTTGAAATAGACACTAAGCTGCCTGAGTAAGAATATATTTACCATGTTAGAATATTTGTTACTAGTTCCAGGACTGTGGAGGCTTGATGTGTTGTTTCATGTCCCGCAGGCATGCGCTGCTGGTTGCAGCAGAAAACTTCACCGTGTTGATCAAAAACAGCATTACGTACCCAAAGTTCAACTTTCACAGGTCGGTGAACTGCATTTGAATGTAAGAGGGAGATCTGTAGATGCTTAAGCAAACATACAGAGTCACAGTTTTCCCCATTAAACCGGAGCCTTGTCCTCCTTCCTCCAGAAGAAACATACTGCCTCATGTGAACTCCTCATACCTGAAGAGGTGTGAATTCAGCCGTCTCACAGACCCACACTGTCCCATATTCAGACTCAAGCATATTGTCTCAGAGGCTGGGGAGGATTTTCAAGACATGGCTGTGAAGGTGAATCGAATGATCGTTGTCTTTCTGTACTGGAATTCATTGTTCAAGTTCCTGTATGGTCTTCCTCCAGTATATATGTCTCATAAGCAGGATGTGAGCCAGTACAGCCCTCAGGTTCCCTGGCTCCCGTCTGATAGTCACTCCCACAGTTAGTGTAATGTATGCATTTTTATGTTCTCTGTGGTCGCTCCAGATCACAAGGCAAAAACCTTTCTAGCTTCTGTGCTCTGTGCTGCGATTAAAGTCTACCATGGGAGCTGAGAACAGCTGGAAATGCTGAACTCTTAAAGCCATTTTTTGGCTTTCCATTAAGTGTGGTTGAGCACTATGTAGCTGTTTCACCTTCATTGTAGGATACATTGTTTTACATGGTTGTCTCTTTAAACTCTGAAAAGCGGGTATAAGTTAACATTTCATTCAGTATTGACATATTTGAACTTAATAATTATTGTCTTACTCTGTTTTCAATTGTAGTTGGTGTTTTCAACCAAATTTTAGGTCCTTACAGGTTCTTATCTATATATATTATGATCATGGTTGCCTAGCAATGGCCATTGAAGCTTTTTTTTTTTTTTTTTTGCATTTATGCTCCTACAATAAAACACATTTTACTATTTCAGTTTCATGGCCAAAAGCACAAGCAGTCATTAAAATACTGTGGCATAGGTGTGTACTAGTTTTATACCATTCTTTGTTATTGTTTTTTGTCCAAACACTACTTTTTGTAGTGACTATTATATTTTAATTGTTGTGTTTAATTACATCAGTACAGATCTAACCTAAATTTAAAGGTGCTAACTGAATAACCCTGAACTGAGTGATTTGTTTTACAGGGGGGTGTCCTTGGTATTCTTATTGACTGGAGCTGTGATTTGGACTGGTGGGCAGGGGAGTGTTTACCTAAATACAGCTTCCGGAGGCTGGACAACAAACATCCTGTCAACAATGTGGCCCCTGGTTACAACTTTAGGTGAAAAACTTTCTTTCTTTTTTTTAAACAGACAGGTACTGGTGAATGTATAAGGCTGAATAAAGAACTGCTAAAACTTCTGTCTTTTAGATTTGCTAAATACTACAAGACAGCAGATGGAGAGGAAACCAGAACGTTAATCAAAGCTTACGGGATCCGCTTCGACGTCATTGTGTTTGGAACTGTGAGGCCTGACTAATCTTGAAACAGCAATGATTTTATCAAGAACGGTCCGTGTTTTTACTTTAGTCTTATGGTAGTTTGGGGTTCTTACAGGCAGGAAGATTTTCCATCGTCCCAACCATAGTGAACTTGGGTGCAGCCTTGTCATTCCTCAGTTTGGTGAGAAGAGAAATGTTCAGACTAGCATCCGTATAAATGATGAAACACCAGATTTTAAATGTTTTGACTATTTTCGTTCAGGTGCCCGTGGTTGCTGACTGGTTTTTGGTGACTTGCTCAAGGAAACGAGATCTTTACAGCAGACACAAAACAACACATCTCACTGAAGATGCAGACAGTGCATCGGTAACTGACTTTTCTCCTTCACTTTCACTGATGATCTTAGTACTGACTAAGATCTTAAATGTCGGTCTGTTTGTTTGTGTTTTTTTGTAACACAGGTGTCAATGGGAACCACCTATGGAACCCAGTAGCAGGAACAACATTTTTCTACAGAGAAATTGGAACCCTCATGAAACGAGACATTAAAACATCATTTGAATATTTCACTAAAACCATTAAAATGTGATAATAAAAAGAAGGAGGATAAACAGTGATCGAGGAAGAACTCTGGCTTTTATTTAAGTAGCATCTACAAAACACTCACTAGTAAAGGTATAAATGTGTAATCTTCAAAATATAATTATAATACCAGCAGCAAAGATGGAGAATGAAAGGTTTCAGAATAAAATACAGCTCTGGGCTACTAATTACTGATCATTAATATGTTCTTTTACAGCTTGCAGAAATTATTTGATTTGATTTATTTGCACTTTTGAGTAGTTTCACCTAAAATAATGTATTATCAGTTACCAGGTAATTGTATTTGAGTATTCAATTGAGTCAAAAACATGTAGTTATGTGAAAATAAATGGAAGTGTCGTTACAGATTATTTGTATAATGTATTAGGACATGGAATCACCATCATTCATATGTGCAATAATGATTGCGGAGCATGGTGTATTTGATGAGCCAATTGTTTTTTCCTTTTGCCACGAATACATTTTTTAACACTTGAAGACACAACAGACAAACACTTGAATTTCCTGTCCCCCTATTCTTCTAGTCACATGACTTATAGTGAGTAGTATACATAAAAAAAAACATCGTCCGTTTAAAATGTTAGTGAATAGTAGGATTAGTCCTGAAATACTTTAGTAAAGTTTGCCTACTAATAGTTCAAATCTATGGTTCAAATAGATAGTAGTAAAAGGGCGTGGATACAGTTCTCATGAGAAGCGTTAAAGTCTCCTCCACACCACATGGTGGCAGCATAACGCAAGCAAACACAAGAAGCGTCTCAGTACGCGAGTAAACACGGAATAGAGCAGAGGAGCGTCTCGTTTCGAGGCATCGGCACGAAAAACCGTCCTGAAAATGAGTTTTTGTTACTGTTTTTCTTGTTAGTTATGTGTGTGCGCCTCGCAGCGGCGTGAGTCACAGAGCTGTGCGCGTTTTATCAGCAACAGAGCGATAAATAGTGCTAGCCTGGACGCTTGTAGTCGGGGAGCTAGTTTTTTTTAACTAGTTAGCATCGATGAGGGCACCCAGCCTCGCCCTCAGTGCTGCAAACAAGACTGACCAGCTGGTACTGAGTTAGTTACCGGGCGGTCTGTGGGAGAAAGAAACCAGCAGAATGACAGGTGAGTGAAACAGTGAAGCAGTCTTGTGACAGCGCTACTATTTGTTTTGTTGAAATGTGAAAGTAACTCCTCGGTTTACTCAGATGATGTCCTGCTGGATGTTCCTGTTATCCGGCAGCTGTACCACTGGGACTGTGGCTTAGCCTGCTCCAGGATGGTCCTCAAGTAAGAGCACATCAAGGTTTTTACCTTCAGAAGTCATGTTTTTGTTACACTATGTACTGTAGCTGCCATACAGACTGCAGTGCTTACTGTACTGCCTGTCAGCAGGCTCTTTTCTGAATTGCAAATCAAAGGTGCCTTGGCATTGTGTGAGGGATTCACACTCTGGTTGTCTGAATGTGTAGGTACCTCCACCCTGTCAGCGATGATGAGTTTCAGAGGGCGTGCTGGGATCTGAAGCTGACAGAAAGTGTGTGGACTATCGACCTGGCCTACCTCATGTGCCATCTAGGAATCAAACACTGCTTTTGTACACAGACTCTGGGTGTAGATAAGGGCTTTAAAAACCAGGTACGTAGTCCAAACTAACAGTGTAATTCTAACCAGTTTTGAACATTTTGATAGTTACCTATGATTGTGTCTTGATGATGTTTTGTTGTTGTTTACAGTCCTTTTACAAGAAGCATTTTGATACTGAAGAAAACAGAGTGAATGAGCTCTTCCTTAAAGCGGAGAGCAAAGGTGTGGTGGTGAAGAAATGGTGAGCTTCCTGTTGATGTTAATTTACCCGCTTACTTTTTTCAGTACCTTAAAATAAATATATGACCTCAGTTGTGTGTGCCTTCTCACAGTTCTGTGTCAGTTCAGGAAATCCAGTCTCATCTGGAGCAGGGCCACGTTGCCATAGTGCTGGTCAATGCTGTGGTGTTGACATGTGAACTGTGCTCCCAGCCTGTCAAATACTGCTGCTTCATGCCCGTGGGTCAGAAGTGTTTCTGCAGGAAGCCGGACTATCAGGGTCACTTTGTGGTTGTGTGTGGCTTCAACAGAACCACTGGCTCCATCTTCTACAATAACCCAGCGTATTCTGACCGTGAGTATACTTGTATTTCTACTTCTACCATAACTGTAAGTAAAATTAATCTGTGGTATGTAAGAGACCGTCTTAGTAAATGTGAATCCTCCTTCTTAGCCTTACCTGTCATGACACTGCTCGTTGTGTGGAAGTTATTGTAGAAAAGCTGCCAGAGAAGTGGATGGTTCAAGGTTTGCAGGTGATCTGCTAGATTGAACTAGAGTTTAATATTCCACACAAATCCATACTGGGTGCACAAAATGTGCTCACTGGTGTTTTGAGCACCACAAGTAACTGCTGCCTGATTCCATTCACTTAAAAAGAAAAAAATCTCAAAGGCCGGTATCTCCAAAAGTCTTCATGTCACACTGGAATTATCAGGATGGCCATCATCCTGCTGTTGCCTCACAGCAAGAAGGTCCCCACCTGTTTACTTTGCCCTGTTGCAGATGGTCAAGAGACCAATTTGAAAGCAGAAGAAAATAGATGGATGGATGAATAGCACTAAAGCAAAATCCTCTTAATTTGAGTTCTGTGAGCTGTTCTTTTTAAGGAATCCTCAGAAATAAAATATATATGATAAAATTTAAATAAAACCTACTGTTAGGCTTAGACTAAGAAAGCTTAAATTTTGGCACACAGCGATAGAGTCGGCCTTTAAACAGCAGCTGCTCTGCTTTCAGGTTTGGTGTAATGCCACTTTTTGTTGCAGCTGTTTTCAGTCATCGTGCGATTCGTGAACGTCAATGTTTCCATTAACATTAACAAACCTTGCTTGGTTCCATGTCACCGCATGAGCTGAACCCCGCACATTGTGAATGACAGAAATGCAGAAAAAAAGCTATGTTTAAAACAAACAAACAAACAAACAGATAAACCTCTAAACGGCGGACTTTATTTGCGGGGCAGCTGTGCTCTCTTTTCTTTCTCCTCCTTAGTAGTGACAGAGTCAATTCAAGCTGGTAGCACAAGTTTATGCTGCCTGGCTTGATGTTCAGTGGTGCATTTGTGCAGTTTCTGGAGTTAGAAATGGTTCATGTTTCACAAGTCATTGTTTTTTCCATAAGCAAGACTCTGTTGATCAGAGGCTTATTTGTTGTTTCATATGAATGGAGTCGTGCATGAGAAAGGTGAACACTTACTAAAGGTCCACTCTCGTATTGCTTCAGCATAGACAACATAATATATTCAGACCCAGCACTAATCCGAAGTAATTCTAATGAATCCAGAGGGAGCCACGAGGGTGTGGATCAAATTTCATGGTAATCCAGCAGGTGTTGAGACATTACGTATAAACACCATGGCTGGTGGTATTTACTGTATGGGCACCAGCGAGTTTTATAGCAGTCCATGAACATTGCCATCTATAGAGCTAACAGTGGGAGGCAGACCCAGAGTACACTTTTTGAGCAGCTTATTTATAAATGTGTTTTTATTTATTTAACTTGGAGCTGACAGATCTGTGTGTGTGTATTTTTAGGGGTGTGCTGCACCAGCGTCAATAACTTTGAGGAAGCTCGACGCAGCTATGGGACAGACGAGGATATCCTGTTCGTGTTTAAAGAGAGTTGATGGATTTGGATTTTTGTCATTATAGGAATATCAAAATGCTGCAGATCCCCAGTCTAATGACACCTCCTCCTGTCTGCTGTCACAGATCCCCCCTTTTGCAGGCTTTTTTCCTCCGGTGCCAAAAAGCCTGCTCACATATATACATGTACTGTATATGCCAACACTACTTAACCTTTGAATGATTCACCCTGGGAAGAATTAGGAATCCAGGATGGATCCTTTTATTTCTGTTTTTGTGATGAACAGATATTTCAGATTCATCTTATTGTCAATGTGGACGTTTTTAATGACTGCAGTTGTACTGGAATCTCACACTGAGTGTACAGACTTGCACAACTGTGGCAGAACTGCGGGAAACACGAGCAAGAGTAGAATTTACCAGGAAATTGTGTGCACATAATTCAGGGCCGATGTTGATAATACTTGGAGTGTTCATTTCTTTGTTCTGCTCAGTGTTAATGTGAAGCTGCTCATCCGCCCCCCCTCCAGCCTCGCCTCTACCTGCCTTTTAAAAATCCTCCCGACTCACCGCATTTTAATCAGACGATTCTGTAAACAGGGAAATACAGGAAGCAAGTCACAAGAGTATCAGGTAATTAATGCTCTAAATTGTGACTCAAATGATGAAGCAAGTTCAATGCAATACTCCATAGATGTATGGAACTCATGGACACTCAGCTCGGACGTGATGAAACGTGACTTCACCGGATTCAATTGCTTCACTGGAAAAGCAGCTCCGCATGTGTCCTGTGCCTTTGGGGAATGTGCTGGATACATGGATGCGTTAGGACTAGGATAAGTCATTTTGGTTTGTAAATGAAGACGAGGTCATTTCCTCATTGTCACGGAGTTTTATTTTTAACTTACATGTTTTTGCACTACACTTTCATACCAGACACGATTATGTTATTTAAATTATATTGCTTTTCCGAATCAAGGAAAAGTGGGTCCTGTCTGGTTGTGCTTCTGGGTGAAAACCACAAGTTTTATTTTTTTATTCAGTATAGATAGCGCTTTTATTATATGTTGTGATTAAAACATTTGAACAGCCTTGTTGTTTTCGTCTGCTTTATATAGGTTTAATAGTGAACTCATACCTTAAACCTCATGTTATAGGTCAAATCTTATATAAACAACATCAAGTGCTGTGTAGTTGGGACACTGTTTAAAAGGGAATTAAAAATATTTGCTGTTGCCTGCACTCCAGCGTCGTCTCCGCACCTAAACAGAAAAATGAGTACGGTCAGGCATCTGTGACCACAGTGTACCCATCTTCAGATAGCTGCTTCCAACAAGATAACACGCCAGCTCACAAAGCTCAGATCATCTCAAGCAGGTTTCTTGAGCATCAGTTTGCTTTATTCCGATCATTTCCACAATCACCAGACCTAAATCTAGTACAGCACCTGTTTGATGTGGTGGAACTGGAGATTCACAACAAGTGAGGCTACTGAATCGATGTGAACCAAAATCTCAAAGGAATGTTTATTGTATTCAAATAAGGATGTTAGCATGTCTAGTTGAACTAGACTGGTCTAAACACTCCATTTCCAGTCACTTCTCTTTTGCTTTGTATGATGTCAGTAGGAGGATATTCCCAATATGGAAATTGAAACAACAGAAGCCCCACCCCCTTTCAAGGCTGCTTTAAATGTAGCGGTCTTGAAAGGGCAGAGGCCAAAACAATTTCTTTCAGAGGATGAACTGAATTGAGACCCAGTATTAGATAAAAAAAAAAAAAGTATTGTTTTAAGCCATTAAATACTACTGGTGGCTCCAGTAGAGTACAATGGCAAAAATATGGAAGTGAAAATGTGCACAACCCATAAACCCCATAAATTATGTCTACTGTGATTTTCCATCTCAGGCCTACTTCTTACTCAGATAACTTCCTTAAGAAGATTTATGTGTTCATTCTGAATGAAATGATAAGAATCAGTTTGAAACAGGGAACCACTTTTTCTAAACCATTAAAAAGTACTTCTAATACTTCTAGTACCGCTGCATTTCAACCCTGGTGGTACCTTTCCCCTTGTTAGCTGTCTGCCACAGGCGAGCTGCGGGCTACAACGCCAATTCAAAAGCCAGTGTGGCCTGTAGGAAAATGTCTGTTACAGCCAATGATTTAAAAGGTGATTTGAAACACCAGGTTCATAGGTGATCTTTAATTCAGCAATGTTTCAGTTTAACAGTTCAAATGAGAACAGGACAAAGGTTTGACTTTGAATGTTTTTTAATCACATTAAATGATAGAAATCAGTCAGTCTGACAGACGTGATCTTTGTGTCAAATTAAATCTGAACTAAGCATGTTTCCTGCTGCAATAGGCTATAATAAATGTGCACTATTTGTAGAATATGTTCTACTCTTTTACTATTTTGGGTTTGAAGTCATGCTGAACAGCTTTGGCAAGTTGTTCTGCGTACTCAGCATACCGTCCAGTCATCTGCAAAGAAAAAGACACTGAAGAAGTCAGTCAAGGTTGCAAAGAATAGCTGAAGTGAATATACAACCATCCAGTCATTGTGCATAATTTACCTGGAGAATTGGAGGATGCACATATAGGTGTGGTAGCAGCGGACATACAGACATGTTTGAATTCTGCATACATATAATCTTTTTGTGCCACTCATTCATTACATTCAAGGATTTCTGAGGGAAATATTATTCGTCTCATCTTTGTTTTTGGAATAATACGATCAGAGATTTTAAATGAAACTTTATTTCTAATCAAAATTTCTAACATTTTAAAAGGTTACAATTTGTTAAATTTACCTTGAAACTCCACTTGTCACTTATTTGTCTATTCAGGTTGAGATCCATTTCTACCACGAGCAGCCCATCTCGGGTCCTAGAGAGGCCTGGCGTGCGACTGCCGTCGGGAGCTGCCACGTAACTGGACCCGTAAAAATGTCCAAAGTCGTGGTGAGCTGAAAAAGCCAAGAAAATTGAGCTAAATCAGAGTCAAAATGTAGTTATTTGAAAAAGTGATTTGAAGTTTTGATATTTAAAAAATTAAAACATGATTTTTTTCTTCATAAAAAAGTTATTTTTATTCGAGTCCAAAAACTGCACACAAAAAAACACTTTTTCAAATCAATAAAATTTTTGACCCTGATTTAGCTCCATGCAAGAACACCAAATCATTTTCTCTTCTGTACATTAAGGACACCTTAAAGAATTAACTCCCTCAGGCAGAATTAGCTTCATCCACTTCACCATACAGTCATTTTTTGATAACACCATATGAAGAGATACGTGCATACATCCTGGGACTTAAGAAAATAAAACCTTTACCTTTTTTCCCATCACCAGACGTGAATTCACTTTTGAAATGTTCCTGTAGAAAAGATTATTTTTGGCATGATTTCATATTTTGTCATTCATCACAACTATGTTGGAATGATTCCTGCAAACTTACTGTCCCAACACGGTTAATGGCACATGTAAAACAGTGGTTAGCGATTGCTGCATTTCTGGCCTCTATAGACCACATGGGTTCACTGCAGAGAAGAAACAATATTATCATCACATTATTTAGATGTACTATGTAATAATGGTAGCGGCATGTCAATGATAACATTGCTTCAACCTGAATTCAGGGTCTAGGTATGGCAATCTGAGTATTTAATCGAACCTTTTTCTGAACGTAGGAATATGGATGACTAAAGCACATTATCAGTTACCACCATACACAAGGGCTGTCTGCACCATAGAAAGCTTACTGTTCCACTATTATTTTTGCATTTTCTTAGCTTACCACTGGTACCATGTGCCAGCAAAACAATACTGGACACCATGGACATGGGGGGGGGGGGGCTCCCTTACCTCAGAGCTCCAACTGTAGCCGAGGGGTTGAAGATGATCTCAGCTCCATTCATGCTGTACATGAACCAATTGAGTGGATGATGACGGCCGTAGCAAATATTCACAGCAATCTTCCCAAACTGTGTCTGGAACACTGTGTGGCCAGTGTTGCCCTCCATGTAATATGTAGACTGAGTAGAAAACACGAGACAATGACAACAGCAGTTTTTCAGTTCCTGCACAGCCACAGTGGATCGTTTAGATCACTCACCTCATTAAAGTCCCCGATCCTGGGAATGTGGTTCTTCCTGCTCTTTCCCAGCACGTTTCCAGAGTTGGAGATGACCACCGCCGTGTTCCACAGGGTGCCGTGTAACTCCTCTCTCTCCAGAATCGGTGAAACTATGACCATGTTGTACTTTTTGGCCAGCTAATTGTAGAATTGCAGAACTGTTAGGTTTGCAGTCCCCAACGTATTAACCGCGCTGCAGCAAAGCTCTACAATCTCACCTCTTGGCAGAAGCGTGTGGTGTTTCCTTCTTCAGCAGACTCTGCGAACTCTGTCCATGGTTCTTTCTCACGGGTGCAGAACGCAAAGGGCATGGCTGATAACGAAAGAAACAAAAACCCCAGTCTCTGTTGGTACCCATTCTGTATGTTTGTTGGATAGGTTTATAATTCTTGCACATGGACACTCACTCCAGGTCTCCTGAAAGCAGACAATGTTTACACCACACATGGCTGCTACCTCAACCATTTCACCAATTCGGCTGTGCATGGCACTGATCTGTGAAGGGAGAGCAGTGATAAAATATTAACACCAGTCACTTCTACCAATGAAATGGAGCAGTATTATTCATGGTATTGATGCTTTTCGTCAGGTAAATTATTTAAGCAGATACATGTTGAATACTTCTCTTGAACAATGATGTACATGAAGAGTTTTACAGAAAGTCATTCAGTCACCTTACAGCTTCCTGTCTGTATCTCTCTGCTAATGTACCTCAACGGGTTTGGTACATGTGGGCTTCTGGTTAGTACTGTAGTGTGTAACTAGTAACCTGATCCAGGACGGGGGCATCAGTGGGCAGAACAATGTGGTGCTGAATGAGTCCCACTCGGATGTTTCTGGGTGGCCTGAGTTGTTCCTGTGCCGCATCAAACTTATATCCTTTAAGCTCAAAGTCTCGCTCAGAAGCAGCTTCCACAGCACAGGCTGAGAGTACCAGCTTCCTGTAAAGAGGAGGAGTTTCAGCTCCTTAACATGTGCCACCCTTTTTTGACTCAAAGGCTACATCATTATCAATAAAGCAGATAAAAGGCCAGGAGTTGATTTGAGGTGTGGTGCTTGCATTTGGAAGATTTTGCTGTGAACAGACAACGTGGACAAAGTAGCTCTCCATGCAAATGAAACAAGCCAACCTTAAGCTGTGAAAACAGGAAAAAAAAACATCCGAGAAATTGCTACAGTATTAGGAGAGGCAGAATCTACAGTTTGGTCCATCCTGAGAAAGAAAGAAAGCACCATTAAACTCATCAATGCAAAAACACCGCACACCCATGGAAGACAACAGCGGTGGATGATCGCAGATTCATTTTCATGGTGATGAGAAACCCCTTCACAACAGCCAACCAAGTGAACAACACTGCTGTCCTGCAGCTTTTAGATGCATCCCTACTCCAACACAGCTGAATCAAATGGTTGGATTACTCTTCAGCATGCCATCAAGTTTGGGAAAGGCCCGATAACAAGTCATTCATTTGATTCAGATGTGTCAGAACAAGGATGCGTCTAAAAGCTGCAGGACAGTAGCTCTCGAGGATTGGAGTTGGACACCCCTGATCTAAAGTGTACTAAAAAAAAGCGTAAATTAAGGCCATCATTGTCATCAAGAGGTTTTCAACCAAGTATTAGAAATGAGCATTTTATTTTCAGTTATTGAATTTGTCCAGTTACTTTTGAGCCCCTGAAATGAAGGGCTTGTGTTTAAAAAATGCTTTACTTCCTCACATTTTTATGCAATTGTTTTATTCAACCCAGTGAATTAAAGCTGAAAGTCCGAGTTGTTTCATTTAAAATTCATTGTGGGTAATTTACCGAACCAAACTTAGAAAAAGGTTGTCTCTGTCCAAATATTTATGGACCTAACTGTATGTAGGGTTTTTTAGTCTATACATTTATCAAACCTGTCTCTGTGCTGGCTGTAAGTTATCCTTCAGCTTGATCAAAGTCCACTGAGCAGAATAATAATTTACCAGGAACCAGAACAACAAAGAAGGAAACATAAAGAGAAACGGGAAAGCCCGATACTTCCTTTAGTAAATTTAAAAGAAATGCAGTATAAGTACAACAACTCACTTTGTCTCCTTCCCAAATAAGATGCGTTTCACCTCCACCAACTCGGCCTCTGGCAGATGGGACTCCAGAGATTTCTCCAGAGATTCAAACTCACATGCGGACATCTCTGCAGGTTTCTGTTGGTTTTGCAGCTCGACAGCAGAAGCAGCAGTATTTAATGGGTTACTCTCGTTATATAATCCTTAGTGATTTCGAAAGAGTAGAGGAGCCCCCAGCTGTGGTTTGTGGAAGCCGGTCATTGACCTGAGACACGGCACTGCTGGCTGTGGCGTTTGTGTTGAGCTGCAGATTAACCGAAGAGTTTTCTTGAATAATAAATGTGTTACCAAACTTAGGAGCAGGCTGAGCAGTAGCTATACTCTTCAATATTTCCACATCCTTCTGTAACAGCAAAATGAGAACAAATTTAAGTTTGCTGATTGATATTTAATATCAGTTTTTTCATTTTTCTCCTTGCAGCACAGCAAATCAAAATAATTACTCACAAATAAAAATCGGTGTAGAAAATGGCTTTAAAACACTGGGCGTGATTGTCATGTGCATCTCTGTGTTCTATTGGATGCTGATGCTGCACAAGAGTTTAAATAAATCAGTGAGTAAAAGTTAAAATCCCATGCAAATAGCTCAACAGTCCACAATCTGTATAATCAAAAAATACATTCAAAGGACCTAAATTATATCTAGAGATTATATTGATCGTAAAATGGCTTTTTTCAGGATCATATACATTATATATTTTAGATTGCGACTAATGATCTTTTGACATATATATGTTTCTTTAATGTTGCAGCGTCTGCTGATTTTAATGTAGATCATCTGGAAAATAATAAGTAAATAAAGATTCGAAATAAATGGACTGGAATATTAAAGAACAAATATTTACCTCCAAATTTATAAAAGTATCATAACACTGAAATACTTAAAGTGCAAGTATATTAAACCCGTACTTAAGTAAACTGCTAAAGGTACTCAGTTACATTCCTACTGGTCCTATCCATGTGCTAATCCAGGGGTGTCAAAGTCATTTAACATTGCGGTCCACTTTGACTTTAAGTGGAGCCAGACCAGTGAAACTCCCCTTGCTGTCAGTGTAAAGAAGTTACATAGTTAACGGTTTTTCTACATGATAAAGAAAAAGCTTCTATGATAAAGAAAGAAATCAGTGTTTAAGATTTGGCCAAAAGTGTTTGATACGAAAAATAGGTTTTGGCCACTAAGAATTTGTTTTAGAGAATGGAGTCTAGTGTTTTAGCAATTCAGAAAAATTGTAATAGCTGTCATTAGTTCATTTGTTCTCAATAGCCAACATATTTCAAGGAAACTGAAATTGAATGAGTTGTTTTAAATGTAGCAAAAAATTTAAAAACAAAGAAAGAATACATGTTTCTGGTTTATCAGAGTCATGTTGTGATGTGGGCAAGGCTTTGGGAAGTAGGGTTGCTGAGAGAACTACAGCACCCCCTGGTGGATGGTAAAGGCAACCCAGATAGCAAGACGACATTGAATTGATGTTGATTTTTCATCCGATCCGTCGTTATGGTTGAAATGCCAATGTTGTAACAACATTGAAATACCGTGGTAAACCGACGGTCTTACTATAGGGACGTTGTAATGATGTTGATTTACCTTTGTTTTTTTGTCATTGATATTTGATCTTTTTGTAGTCGACCAGGTGACAACAACAACGTCGAGAAAACGTCTATTTATAGTTTACCATAATTCGGCGCCGGTCACCATCAAAAAGCCATCGATTTGTAGTTGAGCGTTAAATTGCATTGCAACTGAGCGGGTATAAAGTACCGGAGAAAGTAAATTTTTTTTGTTCTTTTGTTATCAATGACTTTGGTCTAGTTCACCAGCTTTAAAAAATCGTGTCGACGTGCAATTTATGTATAGTTGACCGGGAGCAGCGATCACTTGGACTATTCCGCAGCACCCCTCTCAGTGGTACATCCCTCCAGGTAACCATTGTCTTGTACAGTAGAGCGGGACATTAGATTTACTCTCAGCGGAATTGACCGGAGAAGGTATCAGTTCATGCACTGCACTGGCCTGCACCACGATTAGTATAAGGTAAGAATGAATGAATTTTTTTCTATTCGTTATTTTGACGGTTGCATTTGAATAACAGTAAAAAAACTCGTTAATGTAAAGTTTCGGACAAAATGTTTGAGCCCGAAATTGTGTCTACTTTCATCTTACAATCCGGCAACAAATAAAGTGCACTGCGAACAAAGTCTATCAACAAAGAAAACATTTCGTTTCATACTTTTCCGTGATATTCCCTTACAAAGCTAGCTTTAACGCTTCGAGGGTTCCTTTGTTCTTGCCGTCGCCTCGGCGCTTGACCCAGACTTTCGCTCTGTAGTTGCTTTTTAGCATAGTACTACAAAAAATTGTAAATCTGTGATATATGATTAATAAACGTAAAGGTAACTGTATAAATGTGTTCAATGACTTTGTTACTTTTAATGATTGGAGAGCACCCGCTTCAATTCGCACTCAATTCAAACTTTAGTTGCAGGCTCACCTAACTTGCGTTTGCACCTTTTGTCCACACGTAAACTGCGTTTTCGTTAACTGAAAACTGAGATTTTTAAAGACGCCTGCTGGGGTGGATATTTTACGAAAACTCCGTTTCAGCATTTACGTGTGGACGAGGAAAACGGAGAAAACGCAGCAAAGGTGTGCGCCTATTTTGATGCCACACTGTACGCCACGTTTTTGTCTCGGTGCCATGAATTCCTACAATGGCAAACTTAGACAAAATACAGTTAATTTTATTATCTTCAGTGTTTAAATGCTTACATATACACATGCAGTTACTGTCCCTTCACACACAGGACTCGGTTCAGCTTCTATAAGCCGTCTTTGTATCGAGTTTTCCCTCTTTATTGACATTGTGCCCTATTTTTCCTCTTTTTTTCAGATCTGATTTGGTAACTTCCATCAATAAGTAAGAAACTCACATCCTTAAATAAATTCCTAGTGTTAAACAATTTGCTTATTTGGCTATTTCCAAATATAGCACTATTTGTTTAATCTGATATACACTGACAATGACATCACGCTGGTCAAGGAGGCGCAAATTACGGAAAATGGTTGAGGCAGCAGAGTCAGATATACTCAGGCACTTTAAAGAGATGGTTGCTGAAAAACATAACCAAAACGGCAATGCACAAGTTAAAGTTAAGCGACCGCAGGTTGCGGAAGAGTCTGGTGTGTCCCACTGTTGTCACCCAGGTATAGACAGTCAAGTATTTACCAGTCGCTATGAGCAGATTTCAGAAGAATGTGAGACCTATGTATCACCCGACAAGGATAATGACTGTGACCGCAGTTTTCCCCCCCAGCCCACTGACAGCAGGCATCATAATGCCCCGCCCAGCTTCCGGCACCTTTCGCCACTCCGGCAAAACACACAAAACGACACAGCTTTGCGATCTCCGCAGCATGCAGAGTCAGATGTCGAGGACTTCTCTATAGATGGTATGCTTTTAAAGCTGAATCACAATGTCATTGTGCTCTTATCTTCAAAACACCAGTTTATACTCCTGAATGTCATCTTGTTGTGATTTTGTGAGGCCACTATTACAAGGCAAGTTTGAAAATCTTGGAATTTCACATTTTACATGGTATAAATTGTAAATGGCCTGTATTTGTACAGCGCTTTAACTAGTCCCTAAGTACCCCAAAGCGTTTTACACATTCAGTCATCCACCCATTCACACACAATTCACACACTGGTGATGGCAGCTACATATAGAAATATCAAATATATGTGACATGCAAAAACTAGCAAACACTTTTAGCAGTTAGAACAACTTATACTTGAATGCAGAATGTTACACCATCACTTATGGATCTATTAGTTTTTCCCCTCTCACTGCTTAAGCCATTAATCTTTCTAGAATTGTTCTTTGAAACAGATGCGACCTCACAAAAGATGTTAACGATGCTGTCAGACCTGACCAGAGCAGTTAACGAACTCCGTGAGGAGGTCAGAGCCATCCGCCATCCCTGCTGCAATGAATCGGTAGATGCTGGGGTACTGCCTCTGGATTTGCCCTTGCATAACATTGAGGAGCTAAACAATGCAGAGGCAGCTCTTCAATCACAAGAAGCAAATAAGGCAATGGTAAGTATATAAAGGTTATGTACACTTTGTAACTATAAAGTGTAATAGCTGTCAGATGTGATTTAAATACATAACGACAGCATGTTGATTATACACACAAGCACTTGCATACACATTTAAGACATGAGACACGCTAATTCCATCTCTTAAAATGTGTCTATAGGTGAGACGCTTTGCCTTGATTGGAGGGACCACACTGGAGGTGCGAGTCCGCCATGTAATGGCTTATGCCATTACAAACGAGCTGGCCTCGGTACTAAACTGGGCAGGGAAAAAAACCAAGGACCAGACAAAGCAAAAAAGGGCATTTAAAGATACAGCGCTGTGCAGATGCATATTTGGTAAGTTTTACCGTTTATTGTAGTTTTATGAGCCTAAAGTGAACAATAAAGGGATCAATTGATCTGCTGGGTGTGTTTCACATTTCCTATGTCCGGTTTTTGCTATATTACTTTGTCTTTCTTAATAACAAGACTTTCATGTCCGGTTAATCTGGAGATGGAGTCTTTGGTCTTTGGCTTGTTTAGTCCTCGGGTTGTAGTTTGTACAGCCCAAGGACCCCATGTTTATTTTGTTTTAAAGGATACACGGCACACCATGCTAAGACTTATCACTTTTTCCGCTCATAGCTCTTTGGGAATCAAATGCGGCAGATTTACGCCTGGTGACTTTCATGTTTATCAGCCTAGGAGTTTACATACTTTCTCCCCGCTGAAGACAGTTAACAAGAGCTTATTCATGTGCTCTAATTCACTTTTTTTGTTTGTGTGTGTGTGTGTATTTTTGTCCTAGATGGCCTGACGCAGCAGTTAGGGGCAAACTCTATGTCCGAGTTTGTCTTTGCACAAGCAGTGCAGAAATGGCTCCGATACGCCCCAGATCGTTTGGGTGGTGCAGGACGCACATCATGCATCCCCATCCCGAGTAAAAAATTACAAACTTCTGTGAAACATATAAATGTAAATAGGAAACTGTCTTTTAATAAAGTATTTAGCAAACAAAACATGCCTATTGACCTTTTTTTGTTTATTTTTTTTCTCTGTTACATCACATGCAATGCTTTCTTATTTTAGGATATTAATATTGACATGATACATTGTGAGACATTTGGTTTTTTTTTTATAAAGGGTGTCCAATTTGAGGAATAAGTACAATTATGTGTTTAGGTGGTTTAAGTATTGATGGAAACATGCAGTAGTTTAGTATTGGTTAAAATACCTATAAAGAAAGGTAGATTTCCAGTCATGATTTAACTGTTGTTTTAATAAAAAGCAACTGTGCGAAAGAGGTGGAAAATCAACACCATAGCTCAACAGTGTTTCAATATCAGAATCTGACATTGTTTCAATGTCAACAGTATTAGAAAATATAACGTCGAATCAATGTCAGGTTTCAACATTGATTCAACATCAAAACCTGACGTTTCAACATTAAAAAAGGGTGCAAGAATGACGTTAGGTCAACGTCACACCTCAACGTTGATTCAATGACATCACCTGATATTGACTCAATATTGTTTCAATGTTTCCTTGCTATCTGGGAACGCACAGCAGGAAAACGGGGTACAACGTTTTTTAATTAGCAAGACATCCTTTCATGGACAAACATTGTGTTTTTAATTAGATTGTTCTATACTTATTTTAAGGACCATAATCACAGATGAAAACATGCATTGTAGATTTACACTTAAATGTTTATGTAAATCTTTTTTATATTTATGTTGAGAGCGCACCTTCCACATCCTGTGGAAGCAACCCCACCATCTAACACGTTCCCGCAGCTGTGTGCATGACTGAAAATCAGTTTAGTTCAATTTCTTTCGTTCCCTTGAGTTTTCCTAATGAACACAGCAAGCAAGTCCTCAATGCAGGCAAATCCAATCACATCATCATTAATTCTTTGGCAGTGCAGTATTAGCAGGGAGCGCGCAGACTGTAATACACCGCAGTTAGATTTCTGGTAAAGAAAAACCTGAGACAATTTTTCCATCAGTAATTCATTAAGCGCACTTATTCTGTTTGATTTCATTTTTATTTTTATATTATCTTTTTTTTTTTATTTAGCGCAAAGAAAAGTTTAACGCCAACTTGCAGAAAGTAGCGAAAGTTTAATCCAAGTGGTTCAAATTTCAAAAAATCCAAAAGGCAAAATGCAGGAAAAGAGGGAGGAAGAACTGTGGGAAAGGATTCAGACTAAATACACAATATGGAGAATATAAGGTGCAGGTGAATGAAATCTGACAATAAGCAGGGCGGGAAGAGAACAAAGGCAGGAAGTCAAGAAAATAGCAAGGAAACAGCTCTCAAAATATATCAGAAAGTCACTGAAAGATGGACAAAAAGGAACTCACATAGACAGACAGGAAGCCACAAAAGACAGGAAAAGGAAAATGCTTAGAAACACAAGAAAGATACACAGCAGCTCATACTTCTAATTTACCTCTCTGTGACATTCTGGTTACAGTAACAATTTAATGCAGAAATATAAAATCTCAAAATGTAACTTATTCTATTGAACTTCTTCAATATAGAGTTTTATTAACTAAAAAGAAATCATCCACTTTAGCTCAGTTAAAATAGAAATATATCAAAGTATTCAGATTTATACATATAAATTGACAGCGTTAAATTTAGTGGCTCTTGCTGTTTGCAGGAATATTTTTGGTCTGAGGCATCCGTCTCTTTCTAGTCTTTCTGTCTGGCTCTTTGTCAGTCAGCCTCTTCAGCAGTTCTACAACACAAGCAATGACAAACCACATGAGGTAACTTTATGTTTGTTTTGTAGCATTTTCACAATGGCAGGAATGGGTTTGTCCAGCAGGAGGCCTCAGAGAGCCACTTCCACAGCCCCAATGTTATTCTTATCATTAATATTATTTTATTGTTACCTGTTAATTCAGGATGACTTTGACTGTTGTTGTTCTGAAGGGAGACATATTTCTGACCTCCAGCCTCATGGTCTCCTGAGGGAGCACAAGAAGTCACGGGCATGCTTTCAAGCATAGGTAAAATCATACTTTACATTCAGCTTTCAAAAAATTAGGATGGCAACATGCATTTCATTCACGATACCCCTGAAAGCACCAGAATTAGTTTGTCCTGCCACTTATCATCATTACATCAATATATTTGGAATCCAATTATTTAGACCAGACACTGATAACATAATTAGGTTTTGAAAATGCTTTTATAATCTGGGTGTTTGTTCCTCTGAAGTCCTGCTGATGGATGGACCAGACGGACTCACGGCAGACTCGCAGGAGGACGTAGTAGTGTCTGGCTACCAGCACACTGCTGGCCAGAGCCAAATTGTGCTGCTTGGCTGCCAGGTTCATCACTTTACCACTGCTGTCCATCAGGTCCACACAATCTGCAGGAAGAATTTTGTTGCTTTTAGAATTTGTATAAGAACAATTTAAAATGATCCAGCATTTCAGTCCAGTACCTTTGGAGTCCACACCAGCCCTCTCTTTCAAATGATTGAGGAAGTTTATCAGCTTACAGTTGAGATTGAACATTTCCATCCTGCCCTCTGCCAAGAAGTCATGCACATGCATTCACAAAAAAATTGGAACAAATGCTGTAAGGTGCAAACAAACAAAAACAAACCTGCATGCCTGCAAACCTTTAAGCCTGCATGCACAGTATTAACATGCCCAAAAACTTTACTAACCTCCAAACAAGACAGTCACAAACATTTTTAGGTCCAGACTCCTGACAGCAGTTAAGCTCCAGTGATACTAGAGGTAGAAGAAGACTGGACTGGGCACAAAGTGGAACAATAAAAGCACTTTAGTGTTGTGGTCTGCACTTTTTCACACATCCACCGCCCTGAGAGAGTTAAACACACACACACACGCATGTTCCCTCATTTGCATCCACCTCTCCTCGCTCACAAAGCTTGAGTCTTTTAAAAGGCTGAACAGGGGACTGTTTCTGCTTGTATCCATGGAGTCTCTACACACAGTGAGACCAGCACTCTGGGCTTAACAGCTGCATGGGCGGAGATGTCAGTATTGGAAAAAAAAGAGCTGGCTTTATTGTTTCCCGCCACAGACTGGAACCCAACACCATTTGCACTTACAGTAACTGACTTATAAAGACAGATACACCGAGACTTCATTTTGGTACGACAGAGGAAGGATAGAAGTTTAAAATAACAAAATTCAAATAAACAGCCAACATCAATAAAAGATAAGTTCTATCATCTGTTCATTTTTGGTGTATAGTTACATTACAGACACTACTACACTCAATCAAAAGCAACGTGGAGTCTCTGTAGCTCAATCTGCCACATGAATGACTGATTCCTTAAAGCCTCTGTAATTAGTATTTTATAAAAGATCTTTTCCTACTGGCTACTTTCAGCTGCTACTTGTCATACCTCAGCTTTAGGTTTGAGTTCATTCATTTGCTAATGAATACCAGAACACACAACAATGATACCTGTTCAATACCTGTCCAAAAATAACTTAGATTTGCCCAGAAGCAAAAGTCATTTCCATTTCCCCATTACTAGGCTGTAGTATAAGAGACTGCAGGACCAGACTCACCTGGATTGATTACAAGAAGGCCTATGACTCAATGCCCCACACCTGGATCCTGGAATGCCTAGAACTATATAAGATCAACAGGACCCTGAGAGCCTTCATCAGGAACTCAATGGGGATGTGGCGGACAACACTGGAGGCCAACCTCAAGCCCATAGCACAAGTCACCATCAAGTGCGGGATCTACCAAGGAGATGCTCTGTCCCCACTGCTGTTCTGCATAGGCCTGAACCCCCTCAGTGAGATCATTAACAAGACTGGCTACGGATACCGACTACGGAACGGAGCAGTTGTCAGCCACCTCCTGTACATGGATGACATCAAGCTGTATGCCAAGAGTGAACGAGACATCGATTCACTGATCCACACACCAGGATATACAGCAATGACATCGGGATGTCATTCGGGCTGGAGAAGTGTAGTCGGATGATAACAAAGAGAGGGAAGGTAGTCAGAACTGAGGGGATCGAGCTACCAGAAGGCAACATTGCAGACATAGAGGACAGTTACAAGTACCTGGGGATCCCGCAGGCGAATGGGAACCATGAAGAGGCCGCTAGAAAGCTGCAACCACCAAGTACCTGCAGAGGGTCAGGCAAGTCCTGAGGAGTCAGCTGAACGGTAAGAACAAGATCTCGGGCTACCCCTGCTGGGGTAATAGGCTGGCCAAAGGAGGAGATAGAAGCCACTGACATAAGACAAGAAAGCTCCTTACCATGCATGGAGGGTTTCACCCCAAGTCCAGCACCCTGAGGCTGTACGCTAAGCGGAAGGAAGGGGGCCGGGGACTGGTGAGTGTCAGCACCACAGTCCAGGATGAGACAACGGAACATCCAGAATACATTGGGAAGATGGCCCCAACTGACCGAAGTGCTCAGTGAATACCTCAGGCAGCAGAAACCCAAGAAAGAGGAGGGAGACGAGGAACCATCATGGAAGGACAGGCCCCTGCACGGTATGTACCACCGGCAGATAGAGGAGGTGGCTGATATCCAGAAATCCTACCAGTGGCTGGACAAAGCTGGACTGAAAGACAGCACAGAGGCACTAATCATGGCAGCACAAGAACAAGCTCTGAGTACAAGATCCATAGAGGCTGGGGTCTATCACACCAGGCAAGACCCCAGGTGCAGGCTGTGTAAAGATGCCCCAGAGACAATCCAGCACATAACAGCAGGGTGCAAGATGCTAGCAGGAAGGCATACATGGAACGCCATAACCAAGTGGCCGGCATAGTGTACAGGCAGTCTTCCCAACCCCCGGGCCTTCGGACCGGTACCGGTCCGTGAGTCGTTTGGTACCGGGCCGCGAGAGTTGAGGCTCAGGTGTGAAATGTATGGTTTTCAGGGTTTTTATCGGTTTTCAGCTTATTTTGTTATTGTTTTTATCGTTAACTCGGTTTTCCTGGGTCTTTTCACGTGTGTTATGAATAAATCTTCTTTTTTTCGGTACCGGTACTAGTTTTATTTTGTTGTATTTATCCGCGACACCTTAAAGGCCGGTCCGTGAAAATATTGTCGGGCATAAACCGGTCCGTGGCGCAAAAAAGGTTGGGGACCGCTGCTGTACAGGAACATCTGTGCCGAGTATAACCTGGAAGTCCGGGGTCAAAATGGGAGACGCCCCCAAGGGTGGTGGAGAATGACCGAGCTAAGATCCTGTGGGACTTCCAGATACAGACGGACAGAATGGTGGTGGCTAACCAACCGGACATAGTGGTGGTAGACAAACAGAAGAAGACGGCCGTAGTGATCGATGTAGCGGTTCCGAATGACAGCAATATCAGGAAGAAGGAACACGAGAAGCTGGAGAAATACCAAGGGCTCAGAGAAGAGCTCGAGAGGATGTGGAGGGTGAAGGTGACGGTGGTCCCCGTGGTAATCGGAGCACTAGGTGCGGTGACTCCCAAGCTAGGCGAGTGGCTCCAGCAGATCCCGGGAATAACATCGGAGATCTCTGTCCAGAAGAGCGCAGTCCTGGGAACAGCTAAGATACTGCGCAGGACCCTCAAGCTCCCAGGCCTCTGGTAGAGGACCCAGCTATATATATATATATTTGTTTTTTTCATTGTTTTTTCATCCAATGTTAGCTGAGCTCGCCATATGAGTTATTTAGTGATATTTAATGTTAAGAAGTATTCTACTGACTTTATTTTGCAGTGTAGTGAAATTCAACTGTATTGCATTCAAAAATTGTCACTAGTTGTCTTTTGCATTGTGACTTTTTTTTATTAATACTGGGCTTTTTCTTTTTTTTTACACAATTTAAGAATCATTGTTGTAACCTTTTATGATGTATCTTTTAAAAATTATAGAACCTGATTCAATTTGATGGTAAGAACGACAAATAAAAAATTTTGGCTTTTATCTCATTGTTTTGAGACATTGACATTCAATCATTGCTTCATAGTTCAGCGCAAAACAATGTCTTGAAAGTGCATCTGTGGACCATCATTCAAAAGAACCACATCCAGAAAAGTATTTATTGTATGAAGCTAAAGTTTCACGGCGGTAATGCAAAAAAAAAAGTTTGCTTATTTGAGATGAAGTGATCCAGCTGAGGAGATAAGATTTACAGCTCAAAAGATCTCCTGTGTCCTTTGCCCCACAGGAGGACACAGGACATCTTTTTTGGCTGTGAAATCTTTAACAAGGAATAGGCCTCAAGAGCTGTTCTGATAAAAACTGCAAAAATAAAGAAACGCCAAAAATGATGACAATTTAATCCACCATTTCTCCGAATGACCAAATCACGAGCCTGTCTGCTGAAAAGCCAGTGGGATGTCTGGAGGTGTTCCTGCAGCTCCTGAATGAAGACAGGGATATTGCAGCCATTGCAAAAATGTATACACAGCAAGCACACATTAAAAGTGTGAAAGGATTTATTTAAAGACAGCACTTGGTGCCAGTCTACTTGTGAGAACATAGAGAGCAGTAATGGACATCTGCAAATAATTTCCCATTATTCATCAAACTGTGTCAATTGTATCATCTGAATTTGACTTAAATAAGCATACATTAAAGCGTCATTATCACAAATGTATAAACAAAAATAAAAGGAAACATTACAGCATTAGATTGCCAAGTTACTGGTCTTTGCTTTAGAAAATGTGAAGCATTTAACAGATATTCTCACAACCACAAACCTGCACTGTCCTTCTGCTTTTAGTCCATTAGGAAACGGCAAATAGGAGCAATGGGCTGAAACATTCATCTGGAACGTGGTTATGTCTGTTAATCTCTACGAAAAGTGTGGAAATTACAAGTGAAGAGAGCAGAGTATGTTGTGTTTATGTTCAAATCCCTGAAAGAAAGAAAATAAATGTAATAATTTAAAGACACATCACATTCAGACCTGAAATGGCACACTGTGGTTAAATAAAGGTGGCTATCCTGACACGCCTACAATAAATGCTCCTATTCCATATAGACCCTTCTATCAACTGCCTGCATTTTTACTGTATTTCAGCTGTTTGCAAAGAGGAAGTAAAAACATTCATGGATGGTGTTGAAATTTCCACAGAACAACTTGTGAAGTGGCTGCACATTACAAACCACCCCCGGTCATGTGGGTTGATAAGACGTAGCCTTCCGGTAACAATAGCGGTGCCTTTTAGACTTATTCTGAGTTAAATTGACATGTCACTGTATTTAAATAGTAGAGACAGTTTTCAGTCCTGTTTCGTTTATCTCAGTGAGTGACATTCATTGTCTGTCATCTGTTTACAGTACTCCCATTGGAAATTAGAGATTCATGGTGATCCTGAGCAGACATTCACAACTAACTGCGAGGAATTAGCAAATGATCCCTGCGGCGCATAGATCAGTGCACTTTATCTAGCTCGCTACAGCAGCTCTTCCTGTCCTGGGTGTTGAACAGCAGTGCAACCTGTGCTGGGGCGAGGTTCTGTTTGCAGTTTTCCTCCAGGATCTCTGGTTCAGAGCAGTCGTTCCCCGCCGGGAGCTGAGTCTGCCTGAGGGCTTGAAGTGGACACGTCCCCACTTTGGGGCAGTGGGCGATAACAACTGACAGAGGCGGGTGAGACACTGTTGCCAGACCACCCTCTAAAGGGGAGATGTGAGCAGGACAGCGGCAGGAGTTCTCACAGGTACTGCTGCTGTGCTCTGTGAAAAGGTCAAAGCTGAGGCCATTTGCTTTGAGCCTGATGGAGTCCGTGATGCTGTTGTGAGTAGAGTTCCGCTTACTCCCGCTGCTCTCAAACACCTCCCGCTTCCCCAGGATGTGCCGCCTAATAATCCTACGGAAGGTGTGCCGGAACTCTCGGATGCGGTAGGCGTAGATGAAGGGGTTGACCACAGAGTTGGCATGGGATAGGATAATGGCCACATACATAACCAAATCAGGAGGACGATCACACTGAGGACAGAAGAGGGTGAAGCAGTTAATGATATGTAAAGGCAGCCAGCAGACCGCAAACAGGCCCACAATGATTGCCAGAGACTTGGCAGCCTGGACCTCTTTCTGCAGGACGGAGCGGGACTTTTCCCCATGAGACGCTTTTACTTCAATCAGCATGAGCTGGTGGCGAGCTGCCATGAAGATACACAGGTAGATGGCCAACATTAGCAGCAAGGGGATCAGCACACAAGCAAAAAAGTTGAAGTAGACCATATACTCCATGTCGACAACAACCTCAAACAGGCACTTCATCATGCCCGGCTGGCAGGGGCTGCTTTTGGTTTCGTTGGTGCCGTTTCTTGACTCCCCACCATGCCAGCCCATCATGGGGGTCAAACCGATGATGATGGATAAAATCCAGCATATGGCAATGATGCCTCGAGCCCGCTGTCCTGTCACCAAGCTGTTGTACCTGGACAGGGAGACAATACACGTGTCAAGCTTCAATTGTCTTTCAGCTCCTGAGAACTCAGAGATAAAGGTTTGTTTCCCTCTGCCACAATGACCTCTATAAACCTCATAAGAAAGCTTCCGTCCCTTGTTTGAATTAATTATTACTGTATACGAAAGTACCCCGCTGATTTATCATTTGCTTATGCGATCGCTCCGTGGATGCAACTCTCATACCGGAACTACAAGAGACAAGAATAAACAAACTGAGTCTTTCAGGACTCAGGACTCCTCAAAGGAAGGAGCCTATTTTTGGTTCGCCTGTAGCACAGTGTGGGAGAGCAGCTGAGACATTTGGCTTGTTTCTATCACATTCTTCAGATGTTAAAGTGCAAAGGTTAATACTGCAAAAACAAGCCCCCCCCCCCTCCTCTTTAGG